AAACAGAATATTTAAAAACTTTAATATTTTTCACATTGCACATATTATATATAGATTGCATTACTTAATTAAATTAATCTAAAACCGATTTTTAATTTATAGAAGTATATCATTCCTTGTATGTACATGTTATGTGATTTAGTTTTTATCTGAAATTTATATAAACGTAAATACTACTACTTAATTTTATTATTAATATTAAAGTTTACTCTTGATATTTCTTGCAGCTAGGATTAAAAGCTTTGTATGATGCATTTGACGTCATATCTTTGGTTCTAGGAAATTTATAATAGAAAATAACAACAGTTATATAACTATAAAATGTCTTAGAAAACTAAATCAAATTAACAAACGCGGGCATAACTGAACTCACATTTAAATAAAACGCTTTTAACGGTTTAAAACACGAAATTTATTTAACAATGTCTGAGAAACGTCGGGCTGTAATTAAATTAATTTTCAAATAAGTTTAACTTATATATATCGCAATTTAAACAGTTGAAGTGTTTTATGTAAATACAAAATATATTAGTTAACTTATCTTTAATTAATTTTTATTAAACTCTAAAAATACTAATCTGGATTAGTTATATTTTAACATATCTACAGTTTTGCACTTCATACCAATATATTCTCAATTACTTAGACCCTAAGTCGTTAATTACTGAGTTTCTGTAACAATTAATAGTTCAAGCGTGAGTCTAAAGAAATATAATTACTAGCAGACACTTGCGAAGCTTCCAAGATCAGTTCTTAATGCTGCACAATTTATATCTCACGAACAAGACTGTGACCTACAAACTACGGCACATTAGTTTGAGTTGGAATCGAAGTTGTTTCCTATTTAATAAGCACTATTTATTTACATGAACAATTCTCTCTCGGTGAATCAATAGAACGGATTGTATTATTTTTAATCAGGTTCAAATTTGCTTGAGAAACAAAGCTATGGAGGTACCATCAAAATTACATGTCCCAACATATTTGGCAACATGATTATTGTCAATTACTCTTAGCATCGCCGCGTCCCAACTGTGGGAACTGTTAAAGGGTGGATGATATAGTTCACGTAAATAATTAATGATATTCGCAATCAACAATTAATATATATAAAAGTGAAAGCCCCTTTCCCCCTCGTCGGGCATGGGGCGAACACGTGTCTGTGTCCGTTTCACTGATCCGTTCTTTTAACGGGCAAATAGTCGATCAGACTTTTGTGCCCTGCCCGACCGAAACAATTTTATGTTTCCCTGGGATGCGAACCCAGGACCTCTTGCGCTCAACACAATGCTAGGCAATACGTTGAACCATTTGGCTACAGAGGCGATCTATATATATACTCCTTTTTATTAATAGAGACTCTTCGGAATTATATAATTAAAATCGGGGGGTAGTTTTGTATTATCGATACGACGACTGAACGAAAGGGGCGCGCGCTGACAGACGCTCTTGGATGTCACTCGTGCGGTGATTGTGCGCAGTTTTTGATTATTAAGTTTATGTGACTGTCAAATAGGAGTATAAGATTAACGCTTGTGTAAGGAAGATTTCCGAATATTGTCATTAAAACTTCCGCGAGTCCATTGCGTTAGTAAGAGTAATACGTAACCGTAAATTCAGTGTGCATACGTGGTGAGTAAGTGGAGTTAATACCCAACCCTCTTTTGTTTCTTAATATAATTATAAACCCGGTGCCATACGGACTGACAGGCCACAATAAGTGTACATGAGTCAGAACAACCACTGGACCAGAGGTATGTACTTCGAATATTGAACATAGGTAATAAATTTAATTATATGCTTATTTAAGTATGTATACATCAACTTTTTACCGTCTTTTTATAACACTACAAACAAGATAACAAAAGTTTTATATGAAATCGAAATCGAATCAAACATTATTTATTCATTTAGATAACAGGATACAATTATTTTTTTTTTAATTTTTCTCCGGACATGAAAACAGAGCAACGGTTTATTTATCCTACATAATACTTATTAATATTAACCTAATATTTGAAGTAAATGTTATATATAAATAAAATCATAACATAACATGAAACTCAAGAGAGACTTTAAAAATTTTATGACAAGTACGGAACTCGAACCGGCATCCTCATCTAACCATTTTGCTGCTCTAACAGTTTTTTTACTAATAGAGCTATTGAGTCCTACATATCATGGTCAAATGTTCAACCCATTGATATAATCATTGAAGATAAAATTACAGATTGTAATGTTTGAAGAGATTAATATTAAAATTGTGTAATTGGTAAAATGACACGGTAGGTCAAATGGTTAGAGCAGCAACACGGAACGCTGTGGATGCACGACTTTTTGCACTTACATTTTATAAACCTAAATAGATTTTCGGTTTGTACTACACCTTAACCGACACCTACATATAAAAGGTAGAGCTTTTCATAAACTCGATTATAGCTCTAGAGCTAGACACACTTCTTTTGATACTGAAGTCTAGATATTGTCATTAGGAACGTGATGTTCAGCCACCCCGCTATTCACCGAATTATCCCTCGCGTCGGAGTCAGCGGATTTGAAAAGCACTCCTTGTTTAATAACGTCCTAGAGACTCCAAAAAGAAAGTGCCCTCTCAGAAGGGACTGAGTTGAGAGATATATTGCGACATGGACTCGAGTGATGGAAAATCGATATCCGATGTTTCGCAACAAACGGTATGAAAATTTTCGCGACTACAACTCAACGGTCCGCACTTGAAGTCACAAACTTATAACAAGCGGTTTGAAGAATAACTTCTAACAATCTTATAGTCCTATCTAGTATGATAAGTAATGATATATGCGAGATACTACCGACTATTTTTTTTTAATTAGAGGAAGATAGACTAGCGTGGGGTTAGCTTGATGGAAAGTGAAATACCGCAGATATAAAATATAATTTAGATGCGCTGTCGACCCATTTTGGCTTTAAATATTCGGAGGTTCAAAGACTGAAACCGAAACGCGATTAAACTGAACGGATTTGTTATCTATGGACCCGGAACACACGATTCGTTGATTATAATACATAACTACCATTCCACCAAAAAGACTACACGGCGACTTCGGTTACTATTATATAGCATTCGGCGCCCGATACAGATTCGACCGTATACTTAGTATGTAGAGTATTCGCCTCAATTTTAAAGTTAAAATCTAACCCAATAGTTTTGTTAAATATTCCTTATTCGGTTGCTAAATATACTATTAGTTACAAGCCAAACCGAGATTGTATGTCCAAAAGTAGCCAACTACTACGGGTACGGGTCGAAAGTTCGATTCCCGCCAAGTCCAACAAATTTCTGAAAATCAAACAAACTTGATAAAATTTCTGTCCCCTGACCTGCTAAAACAATATTTATTCCCAGTAATCCGACCTCTTGTTCTTAAAGCATTGCTAAGTAACGCGTTTTACTTGTGACCTAATAAGAACTCACTAACAACAAATAAAAAATAATATGTATATCTGGTTTTTGAATAATATTGCCAAGTGTAGAGAAAAATAAAACGTCTGTATTTCCAAAGTCTGTAACTTTGGATAAAATGACAACGCCATCAAGTTTTGAACTGCGAAATACTTGCAAAGTTTACATTATGATAACTTTCAAACCATCGAATACGTAATAAAATTATTTTAGACCTGTTTTCTCTTTCCTTGAGTGTATTCAAACAGAGTTTTATTATCCTTAACCTTATTATTAATAACCGTTTTGAAAGTGAAGGGATACTGGTAAAAGTCTACTGCTTAATAGATTCTACCACAGTGATTCTATTCTAGGAAACTTTGTTTGTTTAGACGTGTGTAAATATTGAGCAATATTCATTTAAAAACCTCTTTTAAAATTCTGTCTTAACCACATTTAATACTCAACGTATTTAGGCGTTACAAATTTTTACAACATTTGACAAGTTATCATAGATATACAACATACTCACACTAAGTGACTCAAAAGAACAACAGATATTGTAATCTGACCTGGAGAGGTTTTTTTGGTAAAAATCCTTTTTTTCCTTTTTTATATACGTATTTTTTGAGATGTTGAAAATGGGGAAAAGATTCATCTTTTCCCCATTTTCATTGCTCCTATTGGTCGCAGCCTTATGGTTTATAGCCTAAAGCTGTAAATGATCCAACCAACACAATCAATTTTAAAATTTATTCGAACCACTAGTTCCTGAGATTAGCGCGATCAAACAAAATCTATATTCTATATTTATAGTTATATCCTCAATATTAATTACATTTCTGTTAACACCCACCAACAACACGGAGAATTAGTTTCTAAAACTTTTAGGCGACGCCTTATTTTATTTATAATTATAAAATTTAATTTAATTTAAGTTAAAACGGTTTAAAATATTTAATATTTTAGACCGTTTTAATTATTTTATATATGTATAGGTATTGTATATAAATGTGTACTACTCGCGTAAACTACAGACGATATACACTTAGTATATAACAAAACGACTATTCTCTTGGAAAGTTAGAATCAATATCTTCATGTCCATAGCAAAAGTAATTATATTTTAATATTTGTTTTATTTTAAGAAGAAAACATAGCGATGGATGATATAAAATGGTACGATCGTTTCTCTGTTTTAATAAATTGTTATTTGATAGCTCTAACGCGTACTCTTAAAAGCTCTACATTTTTTGACTGCAGCACAAACCAAGGAAAACTTATAAATATATCGTGGTTATAGAAACGCCGTATAGATGGCGCTGTAATATATTTCTCTATAGTAATTAAAATATAAATTATTGTGTGTTAATTATTTCAATAATATAATTGTTTATTTTGAATAAATAGATATGGTGATAATAAAATTTTCCTCATCGAAATAATGAACTTCGTAAAATTACTTTTAACTTTAGTCTCCGATGTTAAATGTTCTTTGCATTTGTAAGAGCAACATGGTACGCTTTTGTTCATGGGTTCAATTTCGACCTGTGTCATAGATATTTTCAATTATTCTAAAATGCTTCGTATGTTTATCCACTGTAATTATTACAAAGGAAAATTATTTAATATGTCACATTTGAGTTTTTAATTTCTAAAATATGCTACGTGTTGACGATATGCATTATATTATATAAATAAAACTAACGATTTAAAAAGTCCCATCGTGACCATGGCTACAGTAAAGTATCCGAAACATTGGGTCGACTTTTAAATAAATTAAGTGATATATTCCAGTTTGTATAAACTCTATCAATGCTAGAAATAATATATATAAAAGATGACGTCAAAACGTCTTGAAGAAAAAGTTTAAGTACATTTAATAATTTAATGAATGACTCATAAACCTACTAAGCAACTCTAGGTATTCCATTTGTACAGTGCCGATTAAAAAGCAGACGTTTCAAAACAAGAAAAACGAAATTAGGGCTTAGCAAGAGTTACTAAATTCATTTTCGAAGCAATATTTCCTCCGAATCTCAGATTCTGTACGACGTCGTTTGCAACTTTGCAATCGAATGTATGGCGTTAACTTCTATGTAACTGCGAGATTGACGCTACATCTACCTCGATTATGTGAGGAATGGCTTAGCGAGTTGTCCCAACGAACCGTTTGCGACGTCACTACAAACGATAAGCGATTGTAATGTGACTCAATAAAGTCGCTATTGCAATGCCAGCTCTGAATACAAGTTTCAGTGTTCCAAAGCTTGAAGCATTTCCTTTGTAATGAAATCGTTGAAACTCCATATTGTTACTTTCGAAGTAATTGTAGTTACGAGTTGCGCTAATTGTAAAGTTTGTTAAATTTGGAACGCTCCCTACCTATCCAATTGCCTAAGTACTTTGAATTCTTTATTAGGTAGCTTGTTTAGACTTAATTTGTCGCTTTGAGCTTTCCGTGTCATAGTGCACGTAGAGATCTTCTATAAGAGGAGATAACAGCTTAGACACATTATGCTGTCATAGTTTGCAAAGTGTAACTACTACCACCACTAAGTTAGTGGTGAAAACAGTGACCGACGGCTTACCGTGCTTTTGAATGGCCACATCTACTTTGGGGTTGTCCATAAATCACGTGAGGCTTGAAAGGGGCCCTTTTGGAGGGGTTTGATAAAAATCACAAAAATAACACCAATGGGGGGGGGGCATATAGTAAGATATCTCGTGTATTTATTTTTTCGTCAAACGCGCGATTTTTAAACAAATGGTGTAGACATTTTTATTATGGTCCTTAATTTCAGACAGACATTTTACAGAAAATTTTAAGATTCTTTGTAGGTACTAAAAATACACGTGATGTTGAGAAGGGGGGGGGGTTGGTCTTAAACCTCACTACGTATCACCAATGGGGGAAGGGGGGTTTAAAAATTCTAAAAAAAGGTCACGTGATTAATGGACAACCCCTTTCTAAATTGTGGCTGTTACTCTACTTTTTCTTGGAAATACCCATTAACGTTCTGTCTGATCCATGAACGAACTGAGAACTTGACTTCATACAAGTATAGTAACTACTCAACCAGCATTTCGATTTAAGTTACTTTTGAAGTTTGTTTAGTAAAGGGAACATTTGAAGGCTCTATATCTTTGCCCTCTTAAGTCCATTAGTGTTTGTCTTAGTCCATAAGCAATTACAATCTACTCCAAGATGTTCGCACTTAGCAGTAACAACGTCGTTAGTCAATATAAGCGGCTTTCAGCTGAAAACGCAACGCGATAGTTATGTAGACGCTATGTACTCGCCAGAACCGTACATAAGCCCATGTACACAGCCGTCAGCCCGTTATCCGTGATACATAGACCTGGGTATTGATTTTTACAATTTACGCGGATACCTATTACAAACGAATCTATAAAACAATGAACTGCAATCGGGTTTCATTCGGTGCTAATTATCTTCATCCCGGGACGATCCGGGCGAGCGTCATATTCCCCGGGGCGAAACCGTTTTGTTTACTCGATATCTAACAGGTATCTCGCATCTAATTACTCGGCGTCGGCACCTTGAGACGGGAGGAATCCACCTGAGCGCGGCAGATGCGTCGCAGCTGCCGGCCGGGCCGTACGCTCCCGCCCCGCGTCGCGAACGCGGCTAACAGTTTTATTTCCCCGAATAAACTTTATCAAACAAAGCGTGCATTCCCCGCGCCCTGCATCTGCTCGCCCAGCTGTTCCGCTCGCAGCTGCCTCTTCCGTCTCGCTCGAACGCCGCCCGGTGCCGCCGCGCCGAGAGAGACGACAGTCACTCGCGGCGGTCGCCTCGAGACCCTCCAACTCCCTGCACGGCCCATTCGCAGTTCGCATCCCGAGGCCGGCTGACTGCGAGTATGACGGGTAAACGAAAGCGTAGTCGCGACGACTCGGAGCAGCAGACCAAAAGGCAGCGACGCCGCAAGCGTTCCCGCAGCGAACCGCTAATTAGCGACCCGCAAACATCGGAAAAGCGGCAAGCGCTGAAACGCTTATTTGGCCGGATTTGTTCCGTGGAGATGGAGAACGAGCATATCGCCGAGGAGGACGACTTCAGCTTCGACGATCGGGAGGTGTTCGGGGACGAGAACGAGGATCCGCTGCTGGACTCGGTGCCCGTGAACATGGACCCGGAGCAGCTCGGGTTTCTGGTGTGCGCTCAGGAGACGCTGCGCTTCCTGCACGGCCGCGGCATTCCCACGGAGCACCCGGTCTTCGCCCGTCTGCGCTCGCGCCTGTTGCGCGGCATCGGCGAGATGGCGGTGGCCTGAGTCCTGCTGGGCCCGGAGCCCACCTATACCTAACTTCCGAACACTTCTCTTCAGTGTCTTAAGTGTCGATGGTGTATTCTTCCTAAACGACGGCCTGTCTGTCTCCTTCCGGGCTCTGGATAGTGTTAAGTGTCTCGATGTAAGGTTGATAATTGTGTAACGAAGCTACAGGTGGCCCGAGAGGGCGTCTAGTCACTATCTAGTCAATGTTTACGAATTATATTTGTTAAAAAAGCTTTATTGTCATTCGAATAAATTCGTCCACTGTGCGAGCTTTTTTCATTCGTTCTATTTACACTCCCATGTTTGAACAAATATAGATAAGGTTTTCGTTTATTCATCTAAGGTCTAATATTTAAAAACAAAAGAATATCGTTACGTACACGTCAGTCTTTGTTCTTCTTTGTTATGTCACTTATTTTTAAAACTTTTAACTTTTTGTTTCTTGAAATTATAATTCTATCGATATTTTAATGAAATACGACTATAAAGCAAAGAATGCGAAAATAAATGTCATATTCTATTCCCACGGAGCTTGATGCGTAAAAACTTAGGGGTTCTACTTTTTCTTTGTTCTGATGGGGTGTCTGTTTTGAAAAGGGGTACAGGGGTGGTTAGTTTGCTGTTAACAAAGCTAGGGGGAAATTATATGTGCCCCGATTACATATCGGTTGTCGCAAAAATGTTTTACTCTATTTGAATAGACATTTCTCGGTTAGATGTTTATTTTTATGACTGCATTGAACGCAATACATAAAGTAATTTAAAAGTATATTATTCTAGTAAGAGCAACAGCACGGAACGCTGACGATGCCGGTTCAAGTCCTGGCCGAGTCGAGAAAATTTTTGAATTTATTTTCGATTTTTTTTAATTATATAGTGCCTTCTTGTGCAATAGCATGTAAAAAATATTAAAGTTTTCTTCTAAATTAATTATTTTTTTTACTTCGGCCCGCTTTTTCGGTTGTTTTCCAGCACCCAAAACGGGGAAGGAAAAAAAAAAAAAAAATAAAAAAAAAAATAAATTAATTTGACAATTATAATTACACTTTTTATACGAATTTTAAATGGTATAGAGTATTATTATTATAAAAAGCAATTATCGCGTTTTAAAGTATGTTATTTAAATGGTTCGTTGGTATAAAGCTTGCAATATATAATAATAATCAACGGGTCGTGGGTTCGACCCCCACCGGACACATTTTTCTAATCAATTTAAAAAAAATTCTGAAGCATGATGACTTCGTCTGGAAATCTGGACAATAAATGACCGGGTCACGAACCATCGTCCACAGAGGAAGACATGTCAACTTAAACCGCATTTCGGCTTTAGTGTGTGGATTTCCCAATATCCAAAGCAGTAGGAAATTTCATCTATTTCATCTTTTATCATAAAAAATATATTTAAAAGCCTCTTCCGTTAATAAATGAAAAAGATAAAATTTTAAATGCCGACTTTATTTAAAGGCTAAGTACGAAGTGTTAAGTGAGTCTGCAGTAAAAGCCACCAATAATACACTAGTTTAAACTTAGACTGAGCCTATTAAAGTCAGAACAGATATGGCTGCGGCACTGAAATGTGAAATCTCGGTGGGAATTCGCAATTTTCAGGTAATTGACAGGCGAAGTGAGAACTTTAGTGATAGTTTTTAGTTTGTTTTTTGCGAGAAGATGGCGTATAACTACTGTATAGGTATTATTTTTAAACCGCGAAATATTTCATTTTTATCATAGAAAGCATTTTCAATTATAATCTTCTTATATAAAGCGGTAATGTTACTCTAGGAGATCCAACATGGGAAGTTGATCCCTAGAAGGTGGTAGGTAAAATATCCCAGCTATAAACGATCTAAAGAAGAAGTCTTTAGTATATAAATTAGAGCTATCATCGGTCTCATTAGTTAATAATAAAACTTCACTTTCGTATCATGTAAGTTATATTTTATTGCAAATAAATATATATTGACTAATTTTTGCTTACCTCTTATAATTACTATATTTATTACATATCTTTGGTACGTTATTGCTATAAATTAATCTATTTATAATTAAGATTCTTGTCGATTTAACTCTATAGGTAAAAGGAAAGTAAGCTAGTATTTTATTTTATAGACAAAGAACCTTAATGTTGCCACTCAACAAGCAAGGCTTTTACATTATATGTATTTTCTTCGAAGCTGTCGTGAACAATTTCTTTAAACAGTTATGCAAATTACTAATGTATACAAAACAAATAACTATCATATTATTGGACTAGACATACATTTTTTGGCTTTAGGGAATAGGTAACAAAATTCAGCTAAATAAACATCTTAATAACGTCTCAAACAAAAAATAGATATTTTCGGAGTACGCGTTTGCCATCGTAAAATATGCGCAAAAAATACTATCTTAAATTAAACTTAATTTTCTTTAAAGTAAACATAGTCATATGTTGAGTACATCTGTAGTTTGCGTGAGTATTACACTTTAAATAAAACATTTTTAACTTTTTAAAACGCGAAAGAAATTAGTTAACTTATTTTTAATTCATTTTAACTAAGTCCCGACATTTCAGATGCTTAGCAGAAGCCGTGGTCACGGAGAACTAGAGAGGGAGGGTGTCGCTATGTCAAAGTCAAAACTGCGACTGCCATCTGTTTAGAAGATATTGTTATTTGCAGATTCTAAGTATCCGAAACGTTGGGCCGTAGTTAAAATGTTAGTAGTGTTTTATTTAAATAAATAAACTTTACAAAACACAAACTACCCTCGCAATTCGCAAGTTTCTCCTTTTAATTAACGTTGCTAGGCTGTTCTCTATAAGTAATATTGCTCCCTCTATAAACATATTCCATCAATAATCTATTCATATCGTCTGTGTACTGTTTGTCTCCTTGCACTTTGCTCAGGAGAATGGCAGACAGGGCCCTGTGTAGATCGTGGGCCGACATCTTTGTCTTCGAAACTTCGCCTTTGTTAACAGACACCGCTGGCTCGGGTATCATTCTGGAACGGAAGACGAACTTAGATACGAGAGACGACTTAGCTAGGGAGGTGGAGACTGCAGAGGTATTTGATTAAATACTGTCTGTAGTTTACGTGAGTTGCACAAATTTTAATAAAACAATTTAACGGTATACACGATGTATATTAGTTTTCGTAAAGAAAGATTAATAATGCAGCCATCTCTCCATGTCCAAACGTCCAGTCGTAGTTAAAATAAGTTTGAGTCGTTATAATCAAGATGTGGTGAAGTTAGAATACTTGGTAAATGGAATAAAATTGTAATGAGCGCGAGTTAGTCTGATTTTTAATTAGTGAAAATATTCAAACATTACGTATTTAGTAAGTTACACTGAATGTAATATAAAGCTGTTAAAATTGTATCCCGTCAAATTTAAAGAACGTTATCCTGTTTGAATGGTAATGATACGATATGTACTATGATATACATTTATCTATACATTAGTATTATATTTAGTATTATTATAAAGCTGAAGAGTTTGTTTGTTTATTCGACCACGCTAATCTCAAAAACTACTGGTTCTAATTAAAAGTTTTGTTGGTTAGAGCACGCATTAAGGAAGGTTTAGGAGCGAAGAAACAGTGGGAAACGTGGAAAAACGGGGAACATAATTCACTGTTGTAGTCCGATGCAAAAACAGTCCGAGATGCCCAAAAAATATAAGTTAGAACTTAAAAAGATAAGGAGGAGGTTAACAAAAATAAATTTTGACACCCGCATTAACTATCCTTCGCGGACGAAGTCGCTGGCACAGCTAGTTCTGCAAAAAGAATAGATATGAAATTGTAGATTTTATACATCTACTACTCGAATCGACATCATTACGACATATACTCAATAATATAAACGCATTTTATTTTCACTCAACGTTTTATTTTCATCAAAAGCTTTTCATTAATTCTAGGAATTATGAATAAAATACGCGTTTGTTATTAAAGGCTTTGATTAATTCGCAGAATTTATATATTCCGTAATCAACGTTCCGTTTTGATATTACATTTTTATTTTTTAATTATTGCTGGATTATTTTAAATCGTAAGCCATGTTTTAATCTTAAACAAATATTTAGATTGAAACATTTAGGATACGAGCGGGACTTCAACTGGCATCGACAGATATCTCTAACCAATTGAGCTACCGTGTCCTACACGTCATCATCATGTTTTTTTTTCAAACAATCGATACATGCGCCTCTCGCACAATGTAAATAGTAATCTCAATAGATTCCTTATTTAAATGCAAAAAAAATCAAACGTTCTCTAATCGTAAAAAGGTACATATTAAAACAATAATAGTTAAAGTACAAAGCAGCTTTTACCTCTAAGTCAGTGACAACTTTTTAATTTTATTAATTAAATTAATTTCGCATCATGAAATAACTTTAAATTGGGCTTTTAATCAAATAATTACTGTCTGTTGAAAGATTTATATAAGACACCTTTCGGACAATGTAAATCTAGGTGTTAATTTTTGCATAACCTTAGTGTAGGTATTTTATGAAAACGTAAATAAGTTCCTCTAGCACAAAGAACAGAAGGTATGTCTGTTAATCAAAAGGAAACATTACATGCGAAAAGAGGATCTTTATAAGAGCTATTTACGTCAATAATCAATAAGTGTATTCCAGGAAAACAGTTTTCCGACCGGATGTAGGTAGCTACTGTTATTGGACCGTACGTTTTATTTTATTTACCATCTCCCATCGCCCCTGGGGATTCTACGAAAGCCGGTTGTCAATGTAATTTTGAAAGCTGGCAACACCGCCACGCTGGCTTAGCGTCGGACTGCGTAGTTCCAAGTTTGAATGACATGCGATAGTTGAGGAATTCAAAATCGAAAAAGTTTTGATTAACATCGAAGTGGTCATATGGTTACGAGCTTATATGCGTTTGTTGCTCCGGCTCCCATCAAAGTACACATTTAAATAAACCTGTTTTAAAGGTTTAAAACGCGTAATGTATAACTTAATTTATTTACAATTTACTTTAACTACGGCACGGCGTTCCGGATGCATCGGATAAAGATGGAGAGTATGTATTCATGATGCCGCAAACAGTATCATAAACAATCGATATACAAGTAAATTTTCATAATGTGCTTACGAAGACATTTCTTCAGTTCAATACCCGATGATTTATGTCCGCATTTAGACTTTTAGGTTTAAATTCATGATTTGAGTCCTTTGAATAAGTAAGAAATTCTAGGCGCTGTTTAAGTGAAAAGAGAGAGAGGAGATTAGACATCGAAAATAAATGCGATGTCAACCTATTTTGATTCTGGACAGAAATCCACAGACTGAAATCGAAACGCCATTACACTTCACAGCTTTATGATTTGTGGGTCATGGCCCGGTGTTCCAACACGCATTATATTATAACCAGGTTTCTAGATGAAGTGCAACATCTTAAAAAAAAATCATGAGAATAATGATGGTTGGGATCGAACCTGCGACCCTTTATTAACATTGCTACCTTTAGACTGTCGAGCCCGTCACATTCATATGTAAAGTTTAATAAAACACTTTAACGGTTTAAAACGCGATATATTAGATAAACTTATTTCAAAATGTTTTTTAACTTCAGCCCGACGTTTCAGATGCTTCGCAGCAGGCGTGGTCACGGGGAGACTCCATTTTAAAATAAGCTTAAGTAATATATCGCGTTTTAAACCGTTAAAGTGTTTTTATTTAAATGTGTACTACTCGCGTAAACTATAGACCATATTATGTAAAGTAACAAAAATTCCCTGATGTGAGCTAAAAATAAAATAGGCCGTATTTGCACCCGCTAATGACATCCACACACTCACACACACACACACAAATTATGACATACAGCGAGTATGTTTTATATTTACGGCCATAATGAGTAGTCGCTTAATTATCCCAAGCGTAAATTGAAATGTGATTTCGTATCAGCACTTTTGTACTTTAAATTAAACTCATGTTGTGACGTGCTAAACTATTCTGTAATATAATAGAAGTGTATGACATCGCCGTCTGTATGTAAAATACTAGCTGTGTCAGCGACTTCGTCTGCGTAGAATTTTTAGGCATCAAAATTTTGTTTTTGCGATCCTCTTCCTCATCTTAATAGAAGCTATTTCCCACCTATATCGGTCCCGTCGTTATTGCAAGTTAATCTTAAAAAGTGGATATATATTGTCGCGTATTAAAACCATTTAAAGGGGAATCATACAACTTTTTTGGGTATCTTGAGCCGTTTTCGCAGAGTACGCATCGAAAACCATCAAAGATAAAATAATAATCCCAACTTTGTACCATATTACCCGCTGTTTCTGCGCTCTGAAGTGAATTTTACTACCACGATCTATCAATTGTTCGCCGAATTCAATTCGACAGTTTCCAAATGTAAAATCCAATACAGTCAGAGATACATAATTGCAATAAATTAAATGGACGTCGATAAACCTTTTCTAAAGTGTTTATGATTGTTTGATTTTAATATTTTTTAGTCGTACTTACTCTCAGGTCAGAACTCAAAATATATTTGTTTGTTTTGTTCGATGTATATAAAATAGTTTTTTTTATATTAATTTATTTCTGTACAGGGATATAGTGAAATCCCATTTCCTGACAGGAATACCACAGAGATGGAAATGATCCACAAATCGAACACAATTCTGCGTCTGTTTCGCTAATCGATTTACAGACAGTTGATCAGACTACTGTGCCTTGTGCAACCGAAATTATTTATTTTTTCCCCAAATTAAAACCTAACAGCTTTTGTTCCTAAATACGTTATGAGAAACAGTCAAATGTTACTATGATAAAGAACAACAACTCGTAAGACATACACTTACACAATAGTCCAGCTTCACATACGAAATGTTGCATTTAATAAGTTCACATTTTACAAACTGAAAGCACAATTTATCGCAAATCTCACGCTATTTATTCATTACTGGAATATTATTAATTAAAACTGTCATTTTTAACTGCATATTAAAGCAAAACTATGTTTACTAAAAGTAAAACATACTAAGTAACTATGTATGTTATTGTATCAGTAAAATTAACAAATAAAAAACAAAATTATATAGCTACCTACATACTAGCAGACCTAATACTAGCTGTGTCAGCGACTTCGTCCGCGTAGAATAGTTATTTTGGGCATCTAAATTTGTTTTTGCAAACCTCTATCTAAATCTTTATTAATTTAAGCTGCCCGTCGTTCGGGTTAAGTCGTTCTTGCAAGTTAATCTTAAATGATTGACATATAGTTACATTTTTTTAGATAATTTAAAGAGAAATCATTCATTGATACGTATTTTTTGGGTGTCTTGAACCATTTTCGCAGCGTACGCATCTAAAACCCACTGAAATGCCCAAAAAACAAATTCAATTCAAACCCGTAGTTTCTGGAATTAGCGCGTTCAAACAAACAAACTTCAGCTTTATATGTTAGTATAGATATAGGGCAGGTAGGTCGATATATGATCGAAAGAGGCATGGTGCGTTGTAAAAGACTTCTAAAAGTAATAAAACATAAATCATGGACACATTTGGTAGTCGTCTGGGGGAAGTTATCATCTGATAATTGATGATTAATTTACTAAAATGTTTGTTATAAAAGAGAGAAGAAAAGAAAAAAAATGTCTAAAAATTTAAAAAATGTTAACCCGAAGTTAAAAATCATTTCCAAATAAGTTTAACTAATATATCGCGTTTTAAACCGTTAAAGTGTTTTATTTAAAAATGTTAACCCTTTTCCTTTAGAGGTATTTAAAATAGATGGTAGCCGATCCTCAAACCTACTGAAAACGCAGATAAAGTTTGTTAAAAATCAGTAAACCCTTTCGGAGGAGGAAGGTAACTATTATTGTGACACTAAAATTTTATATATAAGATGTAAATATTAGATCCACAGCCACATGTGCGTTTACTAATTTTAAATAGCATTCAAATAGATTTAAAACGTTGTACACAACACAACTTGGTTTGCGGTCGGAAGCGTACAC